GTATTCAATTGTACATAAAAATTACAAGCTATCATTCAAATATCAGTTAATTTGTAAAAGTATGCTCCTAAGAATATTATAATTATATATTTTGTATAAAAAATATTTTTAGAAAAGATAATAGCATAAAAGAATCTTCTAAATTAATTCTAAATTAATTAGCTCTCAAATAACACAAAATATTCCAGAATCATCTTAGAGCAATTCTAGACATCTAGTGTCCCAGCATGTCTTCAGGCATTTTATACTATTAGGGCTATTTTTATTTATTCATTTCCATCTCTCTGTACATATTCAAATGGAAAAGATTACTATTGTAACACTAATTTCGATTAATCAAAAAGTGACCATCATTTCCCTTTACTATAAAAGTGGATTCTATAATACAAATTGTGCTGTCTTGTGATCATTGTTCTTATATATATTAATGCATTATATTTTACGTATGAGAAAGACGAGAAAACGGAAGCCATATAGCGATTGATCCAATCCCTAGATATAAGAATGCTATATAACATAGATGTAATGCAAATAAACGCTTGTTATATAACCTAATGTTTAGTATTTAGTTGGTTATGTTGGTGTTATACAATTATAACCTATAAGTAAGAGAATTATAACAGTTCTAAAACACAGTTGGATTGCAGTTATAAAAGAAAATTATGTAACTTTAACATTAATAACATATAACATCCGTTATATTACGTGTTACTTCTATATTATATAATAGTTATATAGTTATATTCTGTGTTTGCTGGGTTAAAAATAAATAGGTTTTTTATAGAATAGATTAATTAGAAATAGATTCTTTACTTCCTACATTATTAAAACTAATTAAATTTTGCTTATATTTTGTGATGAAAATATTTTTAACATTTTTTTAAATATAATTGTTCTGCGAGTAAGCTTTATTACCCTCTACTTTTTTTAAACAATTTAAACTTGTTTATTTGTAAAAATCCCGTTCATTTTATCAACATTTATTTTCTAAAAGGTTTCTTAATTTTCTCATTTCTAGTTTATTAAAATACCTCAGCTACGAATGTTTTCCAAAGATTTGCACAGTGGTCTGAAGAAAATCTAATTGCTGGAGTCCGTGCTATTGAGCGAAATATTTCATTTACGTATGCGGCTGAAGAAAAATACAAAGTCCCTCGGAAGACAATAAAAAATTATCTCAAACGTGATAACTAAAAAAAATCTCTGGGATGTAAATCCATTCTAAGCAAAGAACAAAGGGCTGCTCTGGTACAAAGAATTATTAAATTTGAAGAAATAACGCTACTAATTACGCGACAAATTTATAAATTTTATGAGCAAAATAATATTAAGCACAACTTTTTTTTTTTTAAGACGACAACCAAACTTGTTAGAAAAGACTATGGCTCAAGATGTCCTTGAAAAAGGAATTCTTCCATTGCCAAAAAGAAAGCTCAATTTATGAATCCAGCTAGAGCTTAAAGACTGAATAAAGGCCGTAGCAGAGTAAACATGGATTGGGTTGCCCCCGTTCGGATTTGGTTCATATCAGGGGGATAAATTGTTATCATTATAGGACTAATTTACCCTAAGTAAACTTTAACTTAACAAAAATTTGGTAGAAAAAAACTGAAGAAGACTCCTTCTCCTCACCGATTTGGCTGAAACTAAGTAATATTATGTAATTAGATTCGTAGAAAAGAAATATGAAAGTAAAAAATATAACTCGTTAATCTTAATAAAGTTATGATGCGGTTTGAAAAGATGACAGGTTTCGAGATTATATAATCTGTCATGTCGACAGCGTATAAGTATATGAACATACTTTCATATTCCTTTTCCACGTATCTAATTACATAATATTACGGATAAACTTTCGAAAACCACCCACGCCCGATTGTCATGAATTTTGGCAAAAACACTCCAAATGATGTCAAATAGATGTCCTTAAATGGATTTCCAACGACAACAACGTTTAATGCCAAAAATCTTTAAATAAATTAACATATCTCTGTTCGTATCATACTACTTTCTTAAACAAATCTATGAATTTTAGATCAATTTGTGATGATATATTTGTTGATTTAAGTATGTAAATATAAAGTTTACAACCATAAGACAGCTATGATCTTTGAATTATACGCGATATAAGTATATGGATCTTATTTAGTGTCGTAATATAGAACAAAATTCGTAGATTTGTTTAGGAAAGTTTAGACCTCTCACCTCCGATTATGAAATCTGTCACACCGACATTTTTATGAATATATCTATTAAACCTTCGCCTTGCTAAATAAATGAGTCTACAATATACTAAAAATCGTTAATACCGAAAAGATTAACAATATCCTTATGCAAGGGAGAATGTTTTACTAAATCTTCGCCTTACTAAATGTATGAGTCTATTATACAGGGTGTTCGGAAAGTACCGGGACGCCCGAATATCAGGAAAAATATAAGTTTTACAAAAAAATGTTTCAGACAAAAGTTGTGGCGTTTAAAAAGATGTATTTACTGATCACATCAGTTTGACCTTGGGTTGCGTAGCGAAGGTCAGGTCAAGGTC